ATCAAGGTGATGGTGTCAAAACAAGACAGTAAGGAAGATCTTACAAATACACAGAAAAGTATGGCAGGGTTACATGTAGCACGACATGAATTCAAGATCACGATTGAGGCCACCTTCATGGGTATGGAACGTGGCTATCAGCCTCTGCTCGGTGATTCTGTTTTGTTGTGTATCTCGTAGGCCACCTTGGAGGACGCTTACCTGAAGATCAGAGGCTGAAATCCCTTGACCACGATGTGTTCCCCGACTGGGAGAGAACGCCCCTCTCTGGCAATTGTTGCGTGGTGTCCCTTCATCCATTGTTGTAGCATCTGCATGGTCTCACCAATATACCATGTCTCAGGGCATCCTTGCCTGCAGCATAAGTGGTAGACAACACTGGCCGATGCACATGACTATCTGCTGAGTACATGGTGGGAAGTGTTCTCACGTGTGATGGTAGTATCCATGTCGATGATCTGGCATGTCTTGCAGAGGTTACCATGGCAGGGTTGTGTAGCATTGTTGTCGATGTTGTCCTGAAGTCCAGGGTAGCTTGCTGTGAATGATGGCCAGTTTAAGGTTTGGCAGTTGTTTGAAGGTGAGAAATGGAGGCATACAGATGATCTTGGTGAGATGTTCATCATCATTGATGACATGTTGAAGGCTGCAAAGAACATGGCATAGTTTCTCTGCTCCAGGGAAGCACTGTACAATGAGGGGTACTGTATCGATTGTGTCCTGTGTTTGTCAGCTGAGGAAGTAGTTGTGGTTTTTCGGTGTGGCGCGTCGGAATTGGCAATCGATGAGTTGAGCATCGTATCCCTTTCTTATGAGGGTGTCTTTCAGCATCTTTAGATGTTCTTCATGTTCCTCCTTGTCTGATCAGATCCTGTGTGTATGCAGAGCTTGCCCGTAGGAGATGGCTTCTTTAACATGTTTAGGATGGAAGCGAGAGAAGTGCAGCATTGTGAGGTTATCTGTGTGATTGCAGTAGAGTGCGGTACTCAGGTGTCCATCCTTGATGGAGATGTGTGGCTGAGAATGAGACTGATTCTGAAGAGTAGTCCATGGTAAATCTGATGGTGGGATAAAACTTGATATTGTTGTGTGGTCATTTCAGTGATTCCTTGCCATGAGTCCAAAGGACGAAAATGTCGTCGATGTATCTAGTGCATAGCATTGGTTGGAGGTCCTGTGCAGCAAAGAAGTCTTGCTCAAACTTGTGCATTGGGGTGCAAATTTGGTGCCCATGGCTGTTCCATGTGTCTGGATGAAGAACTGGTTGTTGATGGTGAAGACGTTGTGGTTGAGGATGAAGTGGATGAGTTGTTGGATGGCGTCTGGAAATTGGCAGTTGTTGGTATTGAGTTCTGAGGCTGTTGCAGTGATGCCATTGTCATGTGCAATGCTGTATAGAGTGCTGAAATGTCTTTTGTGACGACGAATGTTCATGGTTCAACTGGTCCATGGGTGCTGAGCTTCTGTAAGAAGTCTGTAGTGTTGTGACAGAAGCTGGGGGTTCCTTGCACAATGGGTTTCAAGATGCCCTCGACACAGCCAGAGAGGTTCTCAAACAGGATCCCATTGCCTGATATGATGGAACATCCAGGTGTGGTGGCTTTGAGTATCTTCAGAAGGTAGTAGAAGTCTCTTTTGTGAAATGCACTCTCATTCTGTGTACTTCTCGCATCGGAGACTTCTACCATCTACACCTCCATTTCTCACCTTCAAACAACCGCTAAACCTTAAACAGACCATCATTAGCAGTAAACTACCCAGCCTTCAGGACAACATCGACCACAACACCACACAGCCCAGCTACGGCAATTACTGCAAGACATGTCAATCATTGACATGGATACTACCATCACACATGGGTACATCACCCACCACATACACGGCAGATACTCGTGTTACTCGGCCAATGTTGCCTACCTCTTATGCTGCGGGAAAGGATGCCCCGAGGTATGGTATATTGGCGAGAGCATGCACAGGCTATGCCAATGGATGAATGGACACCACGCAACAATTGCCGGTCAGGCATGTTTCCTCCCAGTCAGAGAATACTTCAGCGGTCAAGGACATTCAGTCTCCAAGGCGGACTTTGAGATACACAACAAGGCAGCATCGCTGAGCAGAAAGTGATACCAAGCTCCGTATCCATGGAGACTGCCTCAGCCGTGATCTTGGGTTCATGTTGCATTACATGTAGCCCCACCACACTGTTCTGTGTATTTGTAAAAATCTTCCTTGTTGTCCTGTTTTGACACCATCACCTTGGTAACGTGTTATGATCTCTCTACCGTAATTAGTTTGTACAGTTCTGGGTTACTTGTTACTTTGGTTAGACCCTCGGCATGCAACTCTTATGCCTATCATGTTATTCTAGTCATTTGGTTTATCGCCAGCACCACCTTATTTTTAATTTGTGTAGTTATCTCTCTACCTTATTTAATCAGACTATAGGTCATCCCTTCACTTACTATTCAGCTGTTAACACTTTAATCACACTGTCTGACAATTTTGATCACCTGCAGAGACTAATTATTCAGCCGGTGGATGTTCCACTTGCACCATTTTTATGATTTTTTTGATCTCTCTGCCCATTGATATCTCTGCTTATAAATTGTGAGCCTGTGTGCTTTTCTTCACTTCACCTGACAAAGGGGCAGTGCTTAGAAAGCCTGTGATTTCAAATAAACCTGTTGGACTATAACCTGCTGTTGTGTGACTTCTGACCTTTTCATTTGTTGGTTAGACATCTGAAAGCAGCAGATCATGGTTTACTGCACGACTGACCTTCCATGCTGCTGGTCATAAACCTGCTTAAAAATCTTGCACACCTTGGAGCTGTAGTCTTGTGTCTTGAATTGCTTCAACCGATAGTGACTTGGTCCAGGAATCTGCATTTAAAATTGCATTCTAGCTCAAGGGTTCTGACATAGACATATGCCACCAGTAGAAAATATTGCAATACAGTTATGGAATATAAAATGCTATTTTACAGTTAACACTGATAATGCACAAAATTGTCTTGATTTCAGTACTTATGTTTCTGGAGGTTTGTGTTCAACTTTAGCTGAGTAGTGTTCATACATGCAAATTGTTTCCTTCTGTCTGCTGGGCCTGTACAGCAGGAAGTCCACGTCAGAATACCCTCCACCCTTCGCCCACCAGCTGAGGCACAAGCCTTGGCAAAGAAGCAGGATGCTGCTGAGTTTGCTCATGGTTGGCATTCCTGCCAGCTGGGTGTGTGCTGCTGAGCTCGTTGCTGAGCTGCAAGGGGTGATTCCATTGTCTCCAGGTGGGTTCTGGGAATAGTGATGGCTTCTGGGTGTAGTCCTGGGGAAGGAAAGAGAGAGGAGTGCTGTCAGGTGGTGCAGCGTTTGCAGGAGTTGGCTCTGTTTCTGCCTGGTCCTCTGGGGCTTCTTAGTTGTGGAGGTTGAGGGGCAGTGGGGTGTGGGAGTGATGGGGGAGCTTGCGATCCACGGTGCAGGCCTTGGGGAGTTGTGCAGCCTGAGAAGAAAGATCAAGTCTGTGTGAGAGAGAGAGCGACAGAGATTGTGCCAAAGTAGTGCCAACCGAGTTCCGAAGTAAACACCACAATTAATGTAGTAGATAATAAAGGGTGAATTGTGTGCGCATTACCTTGTGGTGGGGCGGGGGGGTTTGGGGGTGTGGGGTGAGTGAGGTCGGTGGTGTTTTGTGTTTGGGGGCACTGTAGGTGAATGACATTCACAGATTCTAAATACACATACCACACACAATATTTAACATACTTCACCCTGGCAAAAAATGAATTGCTGTCATCAAAAGGATTGTTTTCATTTATTGCTAATAGAGAGCTGATTCAGTGCTGAATGTGTCCTTTGGCTGATTTTATGACAGTGTGCCCACTCTACTATTATTACCTAATTAAATGCAGTCCCGTAAATGATTAAAAAAAGTGCTATATATATATATGAGTAACTTAACATCACAACCTCAAATAGCTTAGATATCATAGTCATTATGATGGCAGTAACTTAGTTTTAATAATGTAATATTTTTGACAGTCATTGCATTTTTATTCATTTGATTGCAGAACTAAATGGTGTGATTTTGTTCATCCTCCCTTAGAGATTGTAACCTAGAGATTTGGCTGCTGAATGCCCGTCAGCAGATAGCACCTACTTACTATTCTGCACTGGTAGTACATTTCCTGCCATTGAGGTTCAGGCCAAAACATTGGTGTGCAGTGCTTATGCCTGACACAGGTATTAGGACACGTATTTACACATATAAAGTGTCTAACACCTTCTTGAAACTCCTATTGCAAATCATCTCAAAACCAGACTTCCACGTGACCTATTACCTGATTTGCTATCCTTCCTTGTATGCTGCTCCTTCTTTCTTTGGAGCTCAATCTTCAAGTGAGCTGCCGCACATTGTAGCTAGCCAATTTCATGAAAATGAAGTTGAGGTTCTATACCAGGAGTGCCTTGGGCCTCACTACACTAATGCATGCACGCCCCCACTACCACCCAAATTTCTAAGTCCATGGGTTTGTGCATATATTGAGAGAGAGAAACCTTGTGAATTGTAAACCTGTTTTGTTCATACACATAGTACACAAACTAATTATTTTCCCCTAGTTATTAATTTTCAGGCCTGTATCCATGCACATACAACTGTTTCTTGGTTATTTTTTAATTGAATAATTCACATTCTATTTACTCTGGTTGTCTTCCCCAACCCAGTGATTACTGCATATATTTTAGGGGGGTTTATGGAATATTAAATGGAGGACAAAGCATATAGGCCTCAACTGCATGTAGATGGTATATTAGCAATATAATCTGTACTACGCACAGATACTATGCAGGTTTCAAGGATTAAAATACATTTCAGTACATTTTACACCAATTTTATAGTCATAATGAGCAAATTAAAAAATTGTAAAAAAATTTAAGAGTTTAACTGGAAGTCCTGAATCGGAAACCAATGTGACAGATGACATCCATATTTTCTTTGTTCAGATCAAGCCAGTTGCTCACAGCCGGATAATAGCATCAGCAAGATTTCGAAAGCCTACTCAAGAGCCGTGCATTATTTGGTGAGTACAGAACCAAGACTGTTTTAGAGTCATTGGTTCACTTGGAATAATATTGCATACAATTATCATACTCCATGGTTTGACGGTTTGCAGATGGATTGATAGTGCCAAACACATCTGACTTTTTTTCATGAAACTGTCATTTGTAGCATATGATTAGTGTGAGCACTAGATGTGACATCCGAAGCTAAATCACCACAATTTATTATATTTGTTTGCCGAAATCTGGTCAATAGGCAATTTTGAACTGGTTATGATTTGGGTGCTGCTTTGAAAGGCACGATTGTTTTTTGTGTTTGTGTTGTTCCAGAGTTGTTTTGTGTCCTAGTTAGGGGTCTTCTACCTGGAAATTTCATAGAATCCCGACAGTGTGGAAACAGGCCATTCAGCCCAACAAGTCCACACCAGCTCTCTGAAGAGCTTCCCACCCAGACTCAACTCCCCCCCCCTCCCCCAACTCCATCCCTATAACCCTGCATTTCCCATGGCTCATCCACCTAACCTGTAAACGTTTGGACTGTGGGAGGAAACCAGAGCACCTGGAGGAAACTCACGTAGGTACACGGAGAATGTGTGAAAACTCCACACAGACGGTTGCTCAAGGTTGGAATTGAACCCAGGTCCCTTACGCTGTGAGGCAGCAATGCCAACCACTGAGCCATTGTACTTGGGCCACATTTTTGATGATCCTAAACCTGATGGCTGAAATCATCCAAATATTCAATCCTAACATCAACTCTGGGAACAATTGGAGTGTTACACTGACTTCAGTCTCATGCTGCCTCTAGAAGAGAGTGAGTCACGATTTATATTAGAAGTAACCTGTCCTCAATTCTGATTATAAATTTAGTTCATTGGCCTGAAAAAGCACTGCATCAAAAGCTGAGCTAAAAGGGTTGAACCAAGAGCTCAGCTTGCATTAGATTAGGCTTGTACTCTCTTGAACAGAGAAATGAAATGGAGATCTAAGCAGAAATGCTTTTAAATGGTTTTAAAGGATTTCATAAGTTAGTTGGAAAGAAGTTATTTTCTCTGATACAGGAGTCCAGAAAGATAAGGCATTATTTTAAAATTGAATCCATTAAATTCAGGGTTATTCAGGTATTTCTTCATAAAAAGGGTAATAGAAATCTGAAACTCATCCCACACAAAACTAGGTCGGTTGAAAATTTTGGCTAGTGGACTTTTCTTATCAAAATATTAGGAGACATGATAGATTGAGATGAGATGCAGGTCAGTCATGATTTAACTGAATGGTATAACAAATGCAAGGGGTTGAAATCGCCACTTTGTTTTTTGTTGGAACAGTGGAAGTAAACACTTTAACAATAGTGAAATCTTTTAAATTAAAGATAGATAGTACCTGCTAATTCTGGCATTTGTTGAATAACTCAGTTGAAAAGTAAGAGGTGCCAACCTCGCATTTTTTTTCTTGACCACGTTTTTGTTATTACGTGTTTAAGACTGGAGTTATCTCGTAATTTGAATTAAATAATGTGAGCAATGAAGATTTTTTCGTGATTCACACTTGAATTTGAACACATAATTTTCATTAAATGACTTTGAAATAAGAGTTTACTTGGGTATGTCTGGGTATAAATTCATCTTGAGCGGTGGTGCAAAATAACTGATATGAGCTCTTTGTACTATTATGTGGTGCCTGATCGTTTTTATATATTTTTGATGGTGGATTGAAATGAGAAATGGATGGCTTTAAAACTAAGGATTGTGGAAGGAATTGTTGCACTTTCTAAAAGCCAGTTGCTGAAACATATTGTATGTGGCATTTACACTGATGCTTTGTGCAACCAGTGGTAAAGGCTGGTTGTGGGCAGGCTGGCGTAAGCAGGTGCATAAAAAGTGAGATTTGTCCAGCAAAACATATTTGATTTGGTTGATGGAGTGGTGATCAGTTATCAATGACAAACTCAACCTTCCAACAACTATGTGTTCGGTTCCTGGGTGCTGTGAATGATATTGTGAGAAGCCCTTGGAACTCCTGAAGGTAAAGGTGGAGTGTCGCTCTACAGTAGAAAATACCTGAAGCCTGAAAAAAGCCAGTTTATTTTCCCTTGTCAGTTGCTATAAGCTGTTGCTTTTAACCAATAAATCAGAGAATTTATGATCTGTGAACGACTCTTTTTGTACATTTCACAAGGATGTGAAAAATACCTGGTGAAGAGACTCTGAAGAAAACAAGTCCTGGCAAGCAAAAAGATCATCTCAGCAAATTTTGTGAACAGGAACCTTTGAACTGCCTTCCCAGTCTTTTTTCTCTCTCCACATCCCAACACCCTTGTCTCTGTGTGCGTGTGTGTGTTTGGGGAGGGGGGTTTACAAGAGGACTACAATTTAACTAAGAGTTATATGTCAACAGTTCATATTTGCTTACCTATTGGTAGAATCTACGCTTTCAGTTCAACTGGGTCTAAACAAGCTCGTAAATTGGAGAACTTTTGCATACCTTGATAAAATCTTAAATTGTTGTGATGACTTCAATAATAGCATAGATTGGTTTCCCAGTAAGCTAACCCGAGTGAGGTGTGACATGTACCATTGACTGCAATAACCCCCGTTATACTTGGGATAATATAAATCATGCTGGATTTGGGAAAAATTGTTTGTAGTCCACTTAGTAATGCACCTTCAGTGGAAGAAATGTTGCAGGGGGAGATTTTGGTCGAGAATTACCTTTCACTTCATTATCTACCTGAGGGAAAATAGTCACAAAAATTACATTTCTTGTGAAACGTTATCATATGCCGTGCTTGCACAAACCCACCATTTCCAAACTTTTTATCCCTTGAGCTGCTCCAGGGTTCTTGGTGACTTTGACTTTGTGAAATCCCATACATCTGAATAGTTCAATTAATTTCACTAGAAGTTATAATTTATCCAACCTGAGAACATAAAGGTGTCCCTTTTTAAAATTTGTTTTTGATTTTATGCCTTTCTACTTTTCTTTATGATGCTCCCATTGAGTTTGTTCAGTTATCACTGCTGCTGCAACGAAAAGCCTCTGGTGTTAAACAAAACTCTATGTTCATTCTGCATTTTGCATTGACTCTGTCAGTTGAAAACGTCTGCTGTGATGTCCCTTTTAATCTAATGGAAATGTACATTACATAAGCACAGGATTTTATTTTGGGTCACAAAACCCAGTGATTTGTGATCAGCTGAGTTCCACACTGTTACCAGGTCACTGCCTGTTTACAGCAGGACTTGTTTTTCCAACTCATTGACCCTATTCTAATGAATGCATTCATCGTTCCCACAGAAAATTCTCTCTGTTGTATCTGTATGCAGTTAAAAGCCTACATGCTGCCAGGGCAAGTAAACACCAGCTTCATGAAATGGCATTATTTCTTTCTGCATTTGGTAAATGGACATTTTATCACCACATGCATGTGCACACACAAGGGTGCAGACATCCACACCAAAGCCAGGGAGCGTAGGCTTAGAATAAAGGGGTGCCAATTTAAGACTGAGATGAGGAGGAATTTCATCTGAAGGTTGAGAGTCTTTGCAACTCCTTGTCACAGAGAGCTGTGAGAGCAGAGTCTGGTATATACTTAAGTTTGAGATTGATTCCCCTACCGATCAAGAATCAAAGGTTATAGGGAAAGGTAGGAAAGTGGATATGAGGAATGTTGGATCAACCATGATTCTATTGAGTGGTGGAGCAGGCTCGAGGGGCCAAATGGCCTACTGTTATTCCTATTTCTTATGGTCTTAAATCAATATTTTCACTTTAGTTTGGAAGTTTAAAATTTGAAGGAGGAGCCCCCTTCCGATTTCCATGGAGGCAACTTGGGAAGTGACGAGATGGTCATTTGCATGTTTTAATAGGGCTGAGTGCCTACATTTAAACAGCAATTGTTGCTGATCAGAATTGGCCAGGTCTCCCAAGCCTCAGTAAACCTGACGGTATAAAAGAGACTAGAAAGATAGAATCCAGAAGATAAATGCCTTTACAGCACAGCTTGTGGGCAAGGAGGAGTGGAAGTGTTTCCTCCAGTCACCACAAGTTTCCCAATAAAGCTCCATGCCTGTGATCTCTCTGCTCCATCACTACTATAATCTGATTTACTTATCATTTGAGCCGCAAACCCTGACCAGATAATAGCTAGTCTTCAGAGAAAAGAAAATTGTGAATTTTGGGTTACAGAGCTATGAAAGTTGGGCATAAATTTTGTTGTGTAAAGATGTAATACTGACATTTTATCCTTTTTGTTTAGATATTCTGAAAATCTGTTTTCATTCTTGCATGTTTGCCGTTATTTAATTACAGTGTGTTCTCAAATGGGGACTTCTTAAGTCCTGCTGCTCGACTGCTGATTCCTAAGAGAATACTGGGCCAGTGGGAACAGGTCCTTTCTAGCATCAATGAGAAAGTGAACCTTAGAACTGGAGCTGTAAGAAAGTAAGTTTCATCCATAATAATTATTGAATAAACTGATGCTAAGGGTTTTAGTAGATGGAACATGGTTGTTCACTTGTGATGTGAAATTATGTCGCTTTGTTTGACTGAAGAGTTGTACTTTTTCTAGCCTCAATTGTTGCCACTTCATTTGGGAACAAAATCAATGAGCTGAACTTTGCCAATTTTTGGCAAATGTTTTCTTGAGTTAGACTTACAGCACGTGGTCCACTATTGCCTATAATGACTTTTCTCATGTATTCTTTGCTTGACATCATATCAACTATGCAATCAGTTCTTTGGTGACACCTTGTGAAATTGTTCTGCAGGAGAAGTGGAAGTGCTTGTTGCTGTCAGGATTTTGCAAGTTTCGTTCCAGTGGCGTTATATTTAAAGCCCATCTGTGCGACAATTCAGACACTCTAAGCCAGGAGCTGCCCTTCCCACTGATGTTCTGCACCGTTATCTAGAGAATGCCCCCTTGAACCTGCTCCACAATTCAATAGGATCATGGTTGATCCAACATTCCTCACTTCACTGACAAGGGCCTGGAGATACTGGTGGATGGGATGATGAAAAGGAGGGCAATGAATTTTTTATCCTTTGAATTGGCAAAGGAGGCTACGTCACCTGACTCAGCCAACCTGGACCATGGTAACAGTCCAGAACAGCACAATATCTGGGATGAAATACAATGCATGACAATGTGGGAAGAGTAAACACTAACATCTTCTCTCTGCCTCACTCTAACTCTGCCACTGCATAAGCCTTGCAGCAGGACTGATGGTGTACAACTCTCATTGTTGTATGTGTCATGTTCATTCAATGGCTATCATCCACCTTATCCTCCCAAACTGCTAACCCTGACATGTTGTGCTTTTGACTCACTCACCTGGGGATACTTCACCACCTAGGCTGCTCCTGCATCATCACTGACAGCTCTCCCATCCACTTCCATCATACACAATGCACATGTCCACCCTGCCGAAAAGAAATGTCTCACAACCAGGCTGAGAAGACGAAGAGAGATGGACATAAGGCTCTTCACACTATATAAAGAAAAGAAGAAAAGGATCTGGCTAGAGAAGAGTATACCACTTGTGGGGTTGACTTCCAGGGGCAACCTATCCAGTGAGTTTCACACTAAAATAAAACAAAGAACTGTGGATTCTAGAAATCTGAAACAGAAACAGAAATTGGCCAGACCTGCTGAGTTTCTCCAGTACATTTCTATTTGCTGTGCTGTGCTGCACTGCTGTCCCGTTACCACCAATGCTAAGCCATGGTTAACTTGCACTAACTTTTATCTTGGACACTTAATTGCTTCTCTTGTCTTATGCAGTCACCAGTGACACCTAGCGAAGCTCTATTCTAAGGAGGCCAGTGCTGGATACCCAGCTCCACCCCAGCTCAGCCTCCACCTTTGAAGAGGAAACCACTGTTGGAGGTGGGACACTAGCCCATGGGGAGAGGTCTTACACACTGCAAGCTCCACCAATGAAGCAATTTGCACTGATTATCCATGAGCCAACTGGAATTTAATGTGGCTCAGTGTTTACATGCAAATGGTGTGTTTTCTTTTGTTGCTACAGCCATCAGTTTTCATTCTTTTACAACAAAAACTGGTTGATGGAGCTAAACACAAAGTGCGGGAGAAATTCAATGGGCCTGGCAGCATCTGTGGAAAGAGATAATGTTTTGACTCCAATATGACTCATTTTTGAAACAGTCATACTGGACTCGATGTTAACTGGATCTTTCTCCCTCCACAGATGCTGCCAGACCTTTGTGTTTTCATTTCAGATTTCCAGCATCAACAGTATTTTAGTGATTTGGAGCTATTGTACTCATCATAGTCTGACACAAGGCATCCATAAACCTGGTTTCAATTAAAGCAAAATATCTGCAACAGGATCATCTAGACTGATGTTTGTCTGTCTTGTACAAATCATCAAGTGTTATTTAAACAAAACATTCTATTTGTGAAATATTTCATAAATGCTGACACAAGGTGATGAAGGGTCTAGGCCCGAAACGTCAGCCTTCCTGCTCCTCTGATGCTGCTTGGCCTGCTGTGTTCATCCAGCTCTACACCTTGTTATCTCAGATTCTCCAGCATCTGCAGTTCCTACTATCTCTGATGCAAGTAGAATGTGTTTTGTTACCCATTGACCTGAGCACTTGAATACTATCATCTTTTGTAATTTGAAAGACATGAGGATTGTGTACAGAATGTATCTTATCTTGTGATTTAAGATTGTATGCAGCCTATAACTGGTAAGATGTATGTGGGTTGCTGTCCTAGATTGCGATTGATGTGTGTCTGGTAAGTGTTCTAGTTGTTCTCATTTCATGAGTAGTATGGAGAAAATATAAATATCTTGCAGAAAGCTATGACTGTGTACACCAAATTTCTGAAAATTGTCACATTTTTGAATGAGCTTTTAACAGCTGACAGAAAAGTCTAATTTATGGTTTGTAAGTGCATTTTAATCAATCTTCTTCAGAATTCTGTTACTGCTTTTTTTTTAGTGCAAACATGGTAAGCTAACTGAACATACAGCAGCTGAATAATGAGGCTGTTATTACACGCTCTCTAGGTTGCATCTGTAATCCCAAATGCCCATTAAAAATGTAACCATTAGTGTATTTATTTCATTATTAGTGTTTGCCAAGCTTTGAACAGGTTCACTATTATGCAAAATCAGAATGTACATCATATCATGTTTCACTATGATGATTTGATGCTTCCGCTTATTTTCTTCCAGGCTTCATACATTGGATGGAAGGTCCATCAGTGATGGCACAGAGCTTGAGAATGGTGGATATTATGTAGCTGTGGGCAGAGATAAATTTAAGAAGTTACCCTATGGTGAACTGATTTTCAGTAAACCATGCCGAGGAAGATCTAATGGGTAAGGTTAGCCCTATTTGTCTACTGCTTTTAAGCTTTCCATCTTTTGATGGAATTACCTGAATTTATATCTAGGATAATTGTTATTAGTCCAATTTAATCATAAGCTACAAGAACAGAAGTTGCGGAGAAAGGGTCACCTGGACCCAAAATGTTAACCGTGATTTCTCTTCACAGATGCTGCCAGACCAGCTGAGCTTTTCCAGCAACTTGTGTTTTTCTTTCTGATTTACAGCTTCTGCAGTTTTTTAGTTATAGGGTAGTTCCTGTGTTGCAGTTTTTGGGGCATGTTAAATATCCAAAAGACAACCTGGTGAAATATTAGGCACTGGATCCAAGTCAGAAAGACCAGGGTTATTGAGATAGGTGCAAAAGTGATTTTAATGGGGAAAGTTAACATGGATGAGGATTCCTCTGCCATGTGTTCCCACCCATAGCAATTTAGTGTGAAAGATTTCTTGTCTATCAGATGGACCAATAAACCATAGTTTTAAGTAGCCCATCACACATTGTATTATAAAGGTGGAATTATTAGGAAATAATATACACTTTGTCCTGTAGGGAAATTTGGTTTGTCCAGTACCTACATTATGATAATGGCATAAAACCATAGACAATTTTTGGTCAAAATTGTGCAGGGCTGATCTTCATAGGTTGTGGGCTGAACAGTTATACATTCAAGCTCTCCTGTTCTGGAATTGGGTGATTGGGTCAATTTCCAGAATGAGGACCAACAAAGTGATAGGAAAGGAACTGGCAGGGGGAGGGGGGAGTGTGGTTCGGAGGGGTGGGTGGCACAAACCTGTGCATCATCTGTTAAAGGGCTAGCATTAAAGCCATTTGGCCAGCTAAGCTGTGCACTTGCAGTTTTTAATCAATTTTTAAAGTTCTTTTCTAAAGATTCTATCATGAAAAGATAACTGAAAAAATAATTGTGGAAACAAGAAATTGAGACAATGACATTTTAAACAAAAAGTTCTATTAGTCAGTGATTTGGAGATACTGTTGAACAGGATATGATTGAGTGGCACTGTCCCGTTTGGTTCTCTAGGATACACTTCAGAGGTACACAGCTCACGCGGCATGTCTGATAGGAGGTGGTGCTTTGCTCTTTTCCATAAGATCTGTTATCAGATTTGGAAGTTGTAAAGTTTGACGAAACCTGTCAAGATGAAACAAATAGCTAGTATTATTTACTAGCTACATAACCCAAGTAGTCATGCTGAAAAGTGATGACTGTTGGCTTGTTAGATACATACTGCTGTCCATCTGAAGCCCCATGCACAATGCTTGCAAACCTACTTATACCCGCACTCCATGAAACTGCAGTTGAAAGTCTCTGCATTTTAAATTTTTCATGTCAAATTATTGCAAACAGCCAAGTTGCTTAATACATGTTTGCTTCCTGAACCACAGAATCATGTGTCTTGTGTGACTCTTCCAGTACCTGGTTACTGTTGTTTTATGGGACACTTGTATGTTAGCTAGTTGCATGTGTATATATTTTCTTCCACGAGTAATGCCCACTGATATATTTTCAGATAACTAAATAGAGATTAATGACATCAAATACAAATTTATTTGCAGCTCCTCAGGCAGAAATCTCTCCCAAGTGGAATTAGAGCAGAAAAACTAGCTGATATTTTCAGGAGAGAAGACATAGAAAAAAACTTGTGGGGAATTAAAACATCCTTTTTATTCTTTTTCAAGATGTGGGTGTCACAGGCAAGGCTAGGATTTATACAGATCCTTTTGCCCTTGAAGGTGATGATGAGCTACCATCTTGGACTGCTGCACTCTGATATGGAAATGGAGTAGAGAGAACTCAAATCCCTGTTCTCCTCCCTTTTTCTCCATTGGCAATGTTTTGTTTTGAAGGACGATGTGTATGGTTCATAAACACCCCCAAGTGTGTGGGGATTTTGATACCAGCATTAAGTTTTTGTAGGTTTAAATAGAGGATTGTTTATTCATTCTTTCAGTTTGTAATTTTAACGCTACATCATATATGCATGGACCCACATGCATATGCACATTGGAGGAACAATGCAGTCAAAGAGAATAGTTATAAACAAAAACATTTATAATTGAAGTGATTGCTTTATCTTGGAATATACATAAAAATAAAACTAAGAGCTATGGATGCTGAAGGTCTAAAACAAAAACAGAAATTCTTGGAAAAATGTAGCAGGTCTGGCAGCATCTGTGGAGAAAAAACAGAGTTAAGCAGGTTTGAGATGGGGGTGCTGGAATGAAGTGATAAAGGATAGAGTGAATAGGTGCAGATGGAGCCCAGAGAGGGAGAAAGAAAGTTAAGCAGACAAAGGAATGGTTAATAGTAAGACGTGGAAGAAGAAAAGCTGATAATGAAGGTAATGAGTAGGTGAAAATAGTTTAGCTCTGTTGAAAGCAGCCCATGTTGTGACAGGGCCTGGGGTATGCGGGTTGGTAAAGGACCTGGAAGGAGGTGTTCAAGTTCTGAGGAGGAGTCATGATGGACTTGGAATGTTGGCTAGGATTTTCCAGATCCTGCTATCATGAGAAGGATAGTTGGTGGGAGAGTTTATTGGGTAAGAGGCCAAAAAAGGTTTCTTGCTATTGATTAGGTTCTCCCATTCAGGTGGCAACTCGTGTACATTGATAACAGGTAGTGAGAAGTCCATCTAGTATGCATTTGCATCTCATTCCTACCAAAACTCACTGGAATTAACTTGGCTTTTCCAATTAAATTGATACATTTGATAAACTTGATGCTTCAGAGATCCAATGGCAAAGAGCACCTGTGTACCAGAAGAGCAGCTCTTTCTCAGCTAACTTAGTGTAAGTACTTGCTCTTTAGTCCTTTGTAGCAATATGGCTCTAAATGATGCTCAAAGTCACTTGCACTCTCATTTCTCCAAGAGCAGCTGCCACACTCAAGCAGGCCCAGACGCACTATCTCTGTACCAAGCACATTTGGTATAGAGCAGATAGGGGGCAGCCTTTGACTGAAAAGCATAGAAGTACAAAAACAGTCAAGAGGACAATGCAGCATAAGGTTGTGCTCCAGACATTCTGTGGGCTGTGCTTCAGTGTGTTTGGGTCTTGTTGGCCTACAATCATTTGGTGAAGAGTTTATGTAGAGAGCGTCAGTATGGATGACAATCTAATGCCCAGGGATCAGTTTGGGTTAGGGTTAGGGTTAGAGTTAGAGTTGAAGTGAAGGGAATTATCACAAGAATAGGGGATATTCACTGTTGTAGTTGCAGATTTGGAACTGTAGGGGCAGGGAGCATTTGGTTTTATTGGGGGAGGGGGATCATTAAAGTGCAGGTATCTTTGGTCATGAGACAGGTAAGGCTCAGCAGGGCTATGGGGGTCGGTTAGGAGCCTCAGTGGTGACAATGATTGCCAGCACACCAAGGAGGGGACTATGGAGGGTGACAGGTCAGCAGGGATAGTGAACTGGTAATGATGGAACAGAAGGTGGTGGCGAAATGATGGGCCACTGAATCTGATCCTGCTGCAGGTGAATGAAACATAGTGCGCAGCACTTTATTGAAGCAGATTGGCTGCAGCCAAAACGGGAGAAGATTTCGTGGGGATGTACGGTGGAGTTGCATCTTGCATGTTTTTGGCCATCCATAGTGGCCCCTATTAATTATGTTCAACTGCCCTCAATTGCAGCAATGGCAGCCAGTCAACATACTGAGAGCCTTGTGGTGCAGTGTCAGTGTCCCTAACCTGGGCTTGGAGGTTTGGGTTCAAATCACCCCGGTCCCAGAGATATGACATAGCAAGTTGATGTTGATAATGTTTTTATTCATCAGCGGTACTCAAATGTGAGATATCTTGAACTCACGAAGCCATGCAATGATCTAAGAGTTAGTCTTTGGTTTCTATCTTAGATCAAAGGCTGCTTCACTACCTCCAATTCCAGGATCTAAGAAGAGTAAGGAACACGTGAGTTGCTGTGCTAATAATGCGATAAATTTAACTTATTGTCGTTTTACTGAAAGATGATAAATGGGAATTGGAAACACATGATTACATTAATTGCAACGTGGAGGTGCCGGTGTTGGACTGGGGTGGACAAAGTCAGAAATCATATGACACCAGGTCATGGTCCAACAGGTTTATTTGAAATCACAAGCTTTTGTAGCACTGCTCCTTCAACGGATGAAGCTTGTGATTTCAAATAAACCTGTTGGACTATAACCTGGCGTTGTCTGACTTCTGACTTTGTCTATTAATCAGTATTTGGGAGTAACTGTAAGGTTGCTTTAAAACTTATTATATCTGTCTGTTTAGTTGGAATTCCAAAGGCATAGAGTAACTGTGGTTAAAAGGTTCAATGGGTATCCTCCCCTGAGACCTCCATCAATGCTGTTCTAAAACTGGATATCACCAACACATGAGAATGGCAGTAATAACTTGTGTTTCACTCTGTGGGATAAGACGAGCCTACATTATTACATTGCCAGCCTTAACCAATTGCTGAACAGAAAACTGGATTACAGTCATCATCTGAGGTTTCACCAATTTGTGGCATTTCATCAAATTGTATTGGGAGATTTACATAATCCTTTTTTTAAAGGTCAGGACCTAAAACTGAAGACAAATATCTGAGAAATTTAGTGATAAGGGTATGGTGCAAGAAGAAGTAGTAGTGATGTAAACAATCAGTTATGGCTGTATTGAATAGCAGAACAGGCCCTAAGAGCCCAATGCCTCACTCCTATTCTTATTTCTTATTTTCTTGTCCTAAAGTTTAAACAACTGAAGATGAAATTACACCCTTAAATTAACTTTTTGCTGTTGGAGTCATTCTGAAATACTTGTTTCTGGGTAATGACCCTAACCAGTAGCATTATTGCTCATGACAATTTTGTTGTAATTCTTGACAAGTCAGATCCCAGACTAATACACGGCTTGATAGACCATAAGTTTTTTTATTTTGCTCCGTGTTTACCATGATAGTCAGTCAATGAATGTTTTCGCAAGTGGCTGCCACTATACTTTTAACAAAAGAGCATCACAGTTTTTCTTTCATGTGTTATAAACTATGTTAGACTATCCAAGAGCTATTCCAAGTGGCCTTATTACAACTAACAGAAATACATGTGAACCCTTTTATTCTTGACAACCTTACGGACATTCAAACCTTGGTGTAATTTCAATGGTCTTCTAAAATTAAATGTTAAAATTCCTTTTTAATTGACATGGCTATAATCAGTTTCTTTTTGGTAAATTTCTATATTCACCAAATACTATTTTCTTTGTTTATTGTCGCTTCCTCAGACCCTTAAACCGTGAACACAGCACAATTATTATTTAACATAGATCCTTAAACTTGTGTCTTCTAAAACTTTCTGCTTCAGGAATTTTTTGTCAAAGCAACTCAGGACGTTTTTTAACCTCAGCCCTGACTACTTTGGAGACTTCAAATAATAGCATTTCTGCTGCTGAGGACCTCTTCTATCTGCCTGAAACATGCAAAATTGTCTCATCTTCTGGATAGTCCTGTCTTTTGATAATATTAGATTCCTATTGCTAGGAAACAGCAAGTTTTGTTTGTCTGTGTTTATTTTTCTAATGGACTGAACTATTATCTCAAAGTTTTAAAACCTTAATTGAATGAATATATAAAAAAATTTGTAGTCACCACTCTGAGCTCAAAAAGCAAATTCAAGCTATATCTTCTGTCTCCTTAACTCACAATATAGAAATACCAATGAGATTTAGAGTTTTACATTGTTCTGCTTTAGAGTTGACATTTTTTACATAATAATATATCATGAATCTTCATTGCATCCTTGTACTGGTGTTACTGCTCCCTCTTTAAAATATGTCACGTGTAAAGATTGGAGCTACTGTAGCCTTTCTTCATTAAAGGTGACATTCAAATCAAAGATAAATATATATTTCTCAAGAAGTTGATTCTGATTAAGCTGAAATTACCCAAACAAAATTCAGTGTTAATACGAGTGCATTATTTTAAGGTGAAAGGCAGGAAGTTTAGCAGGGACGGAAAGATTTTTTTTTTCAGCCAGAGGATGGTGGAAATCTGGAATGCACCTTGACCTTTGAAAGAATGCTTGGAATGTTAAAACATTAAAGGTGATGGGCCAAGTGCTGGAAAATGGGACTGATGTAAATTTAGAGTAGCACTTTGTCAGTGCAGAGTTGATGGGCCGAAGGGCTGTAGCGTATGGTTCTAAAAGCAAACCTGGATTTTATGTGGATGAAAAGGTTCCTGGTTTCTTCTTTATGATTTGTTTAATTCTCTGAAAGCAGTACTTACTTTGAAGAGAGGATATTTTGCATTAAAAAATTTTAATTTAATCTTTGTATGTGGTCCATTTGCATCATACCCAAGGGGAGACACTTTTTGCTACACTTAACTAAACTTAAACCCGATAGTTTAACAGATGCAGATTAAGGCTAAAGCAGGATTGAGAATTGAACAATCTTGATTAAAAATATGTAGTAGGGCTAGAGTAGTCAAATTTGAGGGAGGGACGCGGAATTAATCAACGATTGAATAGTGCAGGAAGTTACCATGAGCTATTCAGATTTACAGGAAGTTACCATGAGCTATTCAGATTATAGTGAATAAGAATAGTACTGAACAGTGTCAAGGAATGTGGTCAAATATGTAAAAGAATTGCAAAGTGCTGGTTAAATGAAATGGAGACACTAGAGAAGATGGGGGAAAATACCTACTGAAATAATTTCCAAGCTATGACATTTATTGGAAAAATATGAAATATGGGACTCTCTTTTTTGACTCTTTCCTCCCCCCCTCGCTTGGAACACTGAAGGTGAGAGTTGACATAATTTAAAGGTTTTGAGATTGTGAAAGGTTTTGGTAGGTGAAACACAGAAGTTTCCATTTGTCAAGGAGACCAAAGTTAGGGGGGGGCATTAAATAAGATAGTCGCTATGAAAACCAATTTGGAAGTTTGGAGAAATGTCTTTTTACCTAGATCATGGTTAGAATGTGGGCTTTGCTCACAGCAGGACTTGCTAAAATGAATAGAATGGATTGGTTTCATGGGAAAGTGTATAAGAATTCAGGGAGAAAAGAGTAGATGGTTATACTGATGGGTTAGATGAAGAAGAATGGGGAAGGCTTGTGTAGAGCTAATTGGGACTAATTGGACTTAATGGCCTTTTTTTGTGCTCTGCGTTCTACATGATTTCATTTAATGTCCTATTCCCTTATTCAGTCGGCTTTCTGCACCTTTCCAGGCAGTGCATTCTAGATTATAAAATCTTAGTGCCCAAAAACTACCTTGCCTCATGTCATCTTTTGATTGATTGACTCTTAGCATAAATCATTCCCCTGTTTACTGAGCCTCTTTATGGATGGAAACATTTTTCTATATTTACTTAATCAAAACCTGTCTCCTATTTAAGCACCTCAATTAAATCTCTCCTTGTTCTCTCTAGAGCGGAGAAGATTAATCAAAGCTTGTCTTGTCTGTTTACATTTCAGTTTGATGATCATAACAAGCTAAGATCAAAACCTCTAACTGACATCACTTGAACTTTGACAGAGTATCTTGTCATTTGGCCTGGATCTATATATAAACATAATGGAATTAATCAAGTTGTGATATTCATCTGACGTACAGTTGATTACAAGTAAAAGGAGGTTGTTACAAAATAAAAACCAAAAGAAATGTGGATGCTGGGAATCAGAAAAAAACCCAGAAAGTGCTGGAAAAGCTCAGCAGGTCTGGTAGCAACTGTGGAGAGAAATCAGAGTTAATGCTTTGGGTTCAGTGACCCTTCCTCAGACCTTGTTAGAGAGAGGAGCAAAACTTCTTTAAAAGTAGGCATACCTGGAACAGACGTGGCAAAGAGTCAAATACTGAATAAAAACCTGAAGAACTGTGGATGCTGGTCTGAGGAAGGGTCACTGAACCCAAAGCATTAACTCTGATTTCTCTCCACAGATGCTACCAGACCTGCTGAGCTTTTCCAGCATTTTCTGTTTTTGTTTCTAAGGTTGTTACAACTTTGAACAAATGATTGATATGGCCAGAGCTTGGATATTCATGTACAATTTTAGGATCCCTAGATTTACAATGATATAAATTTTTAAACTTCAAATTATATGTTACTAAGAAAGATTCCCAGAATTGAACTTTCTTACTGTAAAAAGTTCTCTGTGAGACGTTTTCCAGAGTTTTGAAATGTTTAGAACAAGAAACATATGTTGACATACCATATATACTCGTGCAAAAGTCAAATTTTTTAGACTTTTTTTTAAGGTTAATTTTATGGGGTTGTCTATTACATGAATACTACTTTTCAGGGGCTGAAATTCATACTCGTCAAAATTCATACCTTATCGTTAGCAGAAGCCCAATTGATCTCATAACGAATAAAGAAAAAAGTAACAGATTACGGTAATTATTGGATAAAGACAATAGAAACAAAATTGAATTGGTAATTATTCCATCCGCCTTTTCTATTTACTTTTCTTTTTATTTTTTCTTTTATTAAAAATAAACGTACCTTGGAGTGGTGATGATATCATCGGTGCAGCTGAGGGCCAGAGCGGGATGGGACGACGGGCTGGAGACGCGGAGTGGGACAGGGCGGGACGGCGGGTTGGAGACGCGGAGCGGGATGAGACGGGATGGCGGGTTGGAGACACGGATGGGATGAGACGGGACGGCGGGTTGGAGACACAGAGCGGGACGAGACAGGACGGCAGGTTGGAGACACAGAGCGGGACGGGACGGCGGGCAGGAGATGCGGAGCGGGATGGGATGGGACGGTGGGTTGGAGATGCGGAGTGGGACAGGGTGGGATGGCGGCTTGGAGACACGGAGCGGGACGGGACGGCGGGCGGGAGACGCGGAGCGGGATGGGATGGGATGGGACAGCAGGTTGGAGACCTGGAGTGGGATGGGA